GCGAACGATAATGAGAGGCATTTGGATTCGCAAGTTGGGGGTCAGAATGGCTGGGATCCGCACCGTGAGGTGCAGATCGGTGACGAATTGGTTTGGGTGAGGCTGATCTTGGTCGGAATCGGACAAACGCAACAGGGAGGACAGATCGGAGGTGTTTTAGGGGCGGAGGCCTTTGATCTGCTTCTAGGGGAGTTAGGGTTATGGGTTATGGCGAGTTTGACCGAAACTGCGAAGACCCGTGGTGGGAGAGGCTGAACGAAGGCAGAAGGCCGTCAGAAGGGGGTTGGTTACCTCGGGAGATGGTGATGGGGACTGGACTGAGATCGGTGATGGAACGACGGCCACGGGATGCGGCAATTGAGGTTGGTTCTCGTGGTTACAGAGTGGGCAGGGTCAATTTTTGCATGTTTAGGTCTGGGCTGCGTAAGTACAACAGTATTGGGCCTAACTATGGCTCAATAAGGGCTGGGCCTCAAGATATCGGGGAAATTGAGGCTAATTTCAACAAGATATGTATTGAATCTTCAAATTTCAGCCTAATTAGTGATGGGTATGGGTTTTCTGGTATAATTTTTGACCCGGGTGGTAGTGTTTTCAACCATGAGCCTTAAAATTTCTCTAAAATTTCTCTAAGTTCAGAGAGACTAAGGCCAACCCCAATGAGAGTTGGAAAAGGTCACCATATTCCTATGCTTCTTGTGCTCAGACAAATATTTCAAATGCCAATTTCAGAAAAATCAGATTTACGTCCATAAATATATGTGCAACTATGGCTGGGAATGGAGAAACTTGTGTAATTAGGGTTGGACTGGGAAAAGTTGCCAATGCTGTAATTGGAGTTGGCAGGTTTATTACCCTTCACTCGGTTGCAATTTCTTAACTTACACCTTGAGGACAAGGTGACTCTTTTAAGGGGGGTGTAATTGATAAGCCCTTACTCAGGCATGTGCATGTTAGGAGGAATAAATGTTAGGAGGAATAAATGTTAAGGGGAACAAACAGGTTTAGGAAGGGGGGTTCTGGTTTGGGAAGGCTGTCTATAGTTTGCTGTGGAAGTGTTAGTATTAGTTAGTAGCTTACTGAGAAATTTTGTTAGAGGAAAAGTGTATAAAAGGCGGGCAAGGGGGATAGTATGGGGGATCGGAAAATTAACAGGAAAACTTGTACAAATCTTGGATAGATTGCAAGTAAGGGGAGGAAGCAGACCCTCGAAGTTCTGCCGATTGGAGTGTACATTCCCACAATCAATTAAGTCTACCATGATTCTTTTCTTCTTTCTTTTAATTCTTTTCTTGACTTTGTTCCAAACGACAGTCTTTATCATGCTGACACTACTCCAAGAGCTGAAACTGAATTGGAAACTGAAATTACAGTACCCCTTCAATCTTCAGTACTCGACCTGGCTCTTGAGAATATTCCTGAGGTAAGCTCTCCTACTACACCTCATTCTCTTAAAGCCTTGGATACTTCTGTTAGTTATAACTTACCTTTCAGACATAATCGTGGGAAGCCACCAAATCGGTACTTACCAGATTTTGAAGAAAGATGATCAAAATACCCGATTGCCAACCATGTATCCACTCAGATTATTAGAACCTTTCAATGCATTTGCGCACAACATGTCTTCTTGCCATGTTCCCTGTGGAATACAAAAGGCTGTAACAAATCCAAAGTGGGCTCAAGTAATAAAAGAAGAGATGAAGGCATTGCAGAAAAATAAAACGTGGAATCTTGTTCCATTGCCAAAGGGAAAGAAGACAATAGGATGCAAATGGGTTTTCTCCATTAAACATAACAAGGCGAGGCTCGTAGTCAAGGGGTATACCTAAATTTATGGAATAAACTACCAAGAGACTTTTTTACCGGTGGCAAAACTAAATACTATCAGGGTCTTGTTGTCTATTGTAGCAAACTTAGACTGGCCTTTACACCAATTTGACGTAAAGAATGCCTTTCTCCATGGCAATCTCGAGGAGGAGGTGTACATGGATATTCCACCAGGCTACATTATTCCATCAAAAGCAGGAGTTGTGTGTGAGTTGTAACGTGCATTTTACGGATTGAAAGAATCACCTCGTGCATGGTTCGGATGATTTAGCTTGGCTTTGAAGAAGTATGGTTTTCAACAAAGCAACTCGGATCACACTCTATTCTTGAAACATCAGCAAGGAAAGGTAACCGCTTTAATAATCTATGTGGATGACATGATTATTATAGGGGATGACGTGGAAGAGATTTCTAGACTCCAGAAGAAATTGGCAGCCGAATTCGAAATGAAGAACCTTGGAGGACACAAATATTTTTTGGGAATTGAAGTGGCTAGATCAAGACAATATATATTTCTTTCTCAAAGGAAATATGTGTTAGATCTATTATCTGAAGTAGGATTGCTTGATTGTAAGCCAACCGACACTCCAATCATCCAGAATCATAAGCTTGGAGAGTACCCAAATCAGGTGCCAACTAATAAGAAAATATATCAAAGATTAGTGGGTAAGCTAATCTATTTATCCCACACCCGTCCGGACATTGCCTATGCTTGCAGCATAATAAGTCAGTTTATGCACTCTCCTAGTGAATATCATATGGATACAGTGTTTCGAATTCTCCGCTATTTGAAATCCACTCCAGGACTTCTGTTCTCCAAGAATAATCATCTCAAAATTGATGGTTATACATATGCAGATTGGGTAGGAAGTGTTTCGGATAGGAAGTCTACATCAGGCTACGTTACCTTTGTAGGGGGTAATCTCGTCACGTGGAGGAGTAAGAAGCAAAAAGTAGTGGCGTTGTCCAGCACTGAAGCCGAGTTCAAAGGAATGGCAAAAGGACTTTGCGAGTTTTTGTGGCTTAAGAGATTGATGACAAAGATCGGCTTTGCTCCAAACTCTAAAATGAATTTGTTTTGTGACAATAAGGCAGCCATTGATATTTCCCGTAATCCAATCCAACATGATTGTACTAAACACATTGAGATGGAACGACATTTTATCAAACAAAATCTTGAAGACAAGATAGTTAGATTTCCATTTGTCAAATCTGAAGACCAACAAGCAGACATACTTATGAAGGCTGTTTTCTGGGTAAGCTAATCTATTTATCCCACACCCGTCCGGACATTGCCTATGCTGCAAGCATAATAAGTCAGTTTATGCACTCTCCTGGTGAATATCATATGGATACAGTGTTTCGAATTCTCCGCTATTTGAAATCCACTCCAGGACTTCTGTTCTCCAAGAATAATCATCTCAAAATTGATGGTTATACATATGCAGATTGGGTAGGAAGTGTTTCGGATAGGAAGTCTACATCAGGCTACGTTACCTTTGTAGGGGGTAATCTCGTCACGTGGAGGAGTAAGAAGCAAAAAGTAGTGGCGTTGTCCAGCACTGAAGCCGAGTTCAAAGGAATGGCAAAAGGACTTTGCGAGTTTTTGTGGCTTAAGAGATTGATGACAAAGATCGGCTTTGCTCCAAACTCTAAAATGAATTTGTTTTGTGACAATAAGGCAGCCATTGATATTTCCCGTAATCCAATCCAACATGATTGTACTAAACACATTGAGATGGAACGACATTTTATCAAACAAAATCTTCAAGACAAGATAGTTAGATTTCCATTTGTCAAATTTGAAGACCAACAAGCAGACATACTTATGAAGGCTGTTTTTAGCAAGATCTTCTATAACTCACTTGATAAGTTGAGCATGCGTGATATCTATGCACCAACTTGAGGGAGGTGTTGGCGTGAGTTGTAAATTAGAGAGATTGTAGGAATATTTAGTGCTCTGTTTTTATTTTTGAAAAGGTCAACCATACTCCTAGCTGTATATCCTAGATTAGTTCCCGGAATTGTCTCTATGTACTGCTATGTATTCTTTTGTATTCATTCAGTAAATATAGAAAAAAAAGACTTCTTTTTTGAATCAATATCGATATATCTTCTTTCCTCAGCAGTTATTGGTGAAAAATATATAATAGAAGTGCAATTATGCTAATCAACTTTTTACTTTTTATTATCATTTTTTTCTACTTATGCTAATAAACTTATGTTATAGAGATCACGAGTTGGGACAACGAATTATATATATATATGAAAGAAACGAATTTATAAGTATGTTGGTTTATAATGTCAACGCACGAATTTGATTAAGTTATTAGCAGGGTATGATAAAAAAAACCGAAAGTGGCATTGAAAATTGGAAGATTGATTTTCAATATACATGCCTAAGCCCTACTTGTGCGAGTTGACTCATTAATAGTACTATACATTGACTTATGTATGGGAAATAACTAAATAGGTAATGCCAAATGAAAACTATAACAATTGGATATATATATATATATAAACATATATAGGCGAGAATTAAGAAAAAGAAAAATATTAATTAATGATCCAAGATGGCTTGCACAAAATTAAATAGTACAATATTGTTGGGACGTCTAATTGTATGTTGATGCTAGTTCACTAAAGGCTTATTTTTTTGGAGTAAAATTCAAAAAAATTTGAGCTCAAGTTACAACTTTATTCAAGTTTACGTTCGTTTGTAAAATTTAAGTTTGAACTTGAGTTTTAACTAGAGTTTGGGGTTAAAATATGAATTCAAGTTTTCCATTAAACTTAAGTTCTTAAACTCAAACTCAAGTTAATGAACAAAATATTTTTTCTATTCTTAAAAATGTCATAACTTTTTCGTTTTAATTCCGATTGAGATGATTTTTTTCTATACATTCACAACGAAGAGACGACTAAAATCCCACTCATATACCTTATTAAAATTTTTCATCACCATTGAGTTTTTATTAAAATACTATTTAAATACAAATTTAAGTTTTGATCTACTCAAACACAAACTCAAATAGATTCTCAATTCAAATTATAACACAAATGTGCACATCCAAACACAAACTCAAGTCACAACTTCAACTCAAATTATAACTCAAATTCAATTTAAAATTTTTACTCAAATCACCATAACTTAAAAAAAAAAACCGAACAAGTCCTAATTGTTTATGATCTAGATTAATAGTGGTTGACTACCTTTTAACACGTATGCTTGCTCTCTCAGCCTGCAGATTAAACATTACAATATTAAACATATATATAACAGATGTTATGCGATCGAGCTCGAATGTGGAACAAAGGGAAATTTTAATATATAAAGTTAAATATAATTTTTGTCGCGTTAAGATAGCATTCTAATAATTACCTCTTCTTCCCAATTGCATCGTATTGTTATGATAGCCAATATCATCGTCTGAATTGCAGTTCCTCCAAAGATCATACCACCCCATATACCCTGTCAGACATAGATGATAAGGGCAATATGTTATAAGTTAATTATTTCATTTCATATTTATGTCCCTCCACCACTTTTTTTTTTTTTTTCTCTGAGCCCACCATATATAAAATCCAAAAATGGAAATATGGAATATATATCTAGCATTTTGTGCAATGGGCCTCTTACATGAATTGGCTTCTTTTCGGCTTTGTACGGGAGAGAGTTTAAACATAGCCCAATGGCCAATTCTTTTTTTTTTTTGGTATAAAGAGAAATACATGATGTTTACTGCTTTAATTAAACGATAAATTTCATATTTATTAACTAGATTAATTGGTAAATCTCTGAGTAAATTAAATATTTATTCAACTACATTAATCGAAAATTCTATATTTACCGAGTAAAACTGGACACTGGACATTTTCAACGATATTAGTAAATAAAACGTTTATTTTAGGTAGGTGATGGACCAATCCTCTATTGTAACCCCCCTTTTTTTTTTTTTTTTTTTTTTTTTTTTTTGAAAATTCCACTACATGACATGTTCATAAGAATGGAATTAAAATATAGTCTTTTGGAATGTTTTAACATTTGGTTGATGGATTCATAACCATAATTCAGAATCATTGTCGTTTAACGTGTGTTTTTTATGAGAGAAAAACACTATAGAGAACCATGAATTATGATTCAGAATCATGAACGAATATAATGATTTTAATTTTGTTTTTTGTCAAATATTCTAAATTTTGTATTATATTTCAACGTGACTAGTACCATTATGCTGTGGAAGAGATGAATGGGCTGAACTTACCATGACACCCATATGGAAGAACCATCCCATCAGAAATCCAAGTGGGAGACCAATAATGTAGTAGCAAGCAAGGTTTACGTAGGCAACCATTGCTTGCCATCCGGATCCAACAGCTACTCCTGTGACGATCAAGAATATATGTTTTAATTAGTACTAATCAAGCTCTAGTTATATATATATATATATATTCTGGGATAATTAACCATTAATTACTTGGCTGAATCAAACAGAATAGAGCCAAAGATAATGGAAAACAGGATGAGAAAGCTAACCGGATAAAACAGGCTGAACACTGTTGAGCAGAATTGACACGGCTAAGAGGGACGAGAATTCATCAACTGCACGCAGGACGTCGGTGCTGGAGGAGAAAATGTACGCAATCTTGTCATGGAATACGACGATGAGAACGCAGAAGACGAGACCAATCATAGTAGATTGCACCACCGACACTATGGTGGCAAATTTAGCAGCCCTGCCATTTCCGGCACCTAGCTCGTTTGCTACCCTAACTCTGTGAATTTCATGAGAAAGGTGATCTTTTCGAGTGACTGTTTGTACTCATGTTAACAAAAAAAAAAAAAAAACATAAATATAAAGCTGTAAATTAAATTCATTTCGTCTTGTATATTTGTGCACTTCAGAAACATGGTCCAACAGATATTTCGTGGAGAAATGATGCAAATATTATAAGTGATAATCACATTAACAATGATTACTACACTATTAATTAGTTATATTATTTAAACAGAAAATGTGATAATGGAGTCTAAATTTCAAACAATTAATGTAAAGAGTGATAAAAAAAGTAACAAAAAAAAAAGTGTTGCTAAGTATTTCTCTAAATGATAAAAGAGTAATAGATGAATATGTAAATCACTACGTGTCACATTGGTTTTTCTGATCATGTTGGACCACCAAAATTGGCCATCCTTGACTAGCTAATTAGCTCTGTATCCCATCTCTGCATTATGTAGTCGTTCTCTTTGCTTGTTTCCATGGACATTTATTTATGAGACTACTGATGTTTAAGTGATGTTCTTAAACACTAGATGTGGTCAATTTTGGCCATGTTTAGAATTGATCTTGTTTTTTTCACGTTTTTTGAGAAAAAAAATGAAAATGTTTCTAAAACAACGTTTGACGCAATAAAGACAAAAAACGGAAATGAAAATGATTTTTTAGTTTAGTGTAAAATGAGAGAGAAATGTAAAATGACTTTTAGTCATTTTTTTTATTTTTTATTTTCATTTTTTCCTCTTTCGAGCAGAGAGAGAGACATTAATGAGTTTTTTTATACAGAAAACAATCTCTTGATAAAACTACCAGACGCATTTTCAAAAATGATTTATGTATGAGATTGAAAACGTTTTTATTTCCATTTTCATATAAAAAACAAAATCATTTCGGAACAAGTTTCAAACACACCATTTAGTTTTCACACTGACGTCCGTATTAATATTAATTATGCGTTTTTTTGCATGAGATGGACTAAAATGCTTCATAAATATTATACAAGCAAAGAAAAACTAATGCTACGTGCGTAGTAGTACTCGTAACAAAAATTATGCACGAAAAACAACAAATGATGAAGAGATTGCCCCTACTAGATAATTAACGTCATTACAATGTATTCATTTTTCTGACTTCCGTTTCTCATGGACAATCGTTTCCAATTCATAAAAAACTTCTAAACGTCAATTTTATTTTATTTTTTGAATTTGACAAATAGAATGGAAAAGATGAATAAATAGTTATTTGAATTAATACATACCCGGTACCAGCAAAGAATGCGAGAGGAATCATCATCTCCCAACCATTAATAGTCATGCTGAACAACAGAATTAATCAATTAAAAATAGGAACATGGGGAAGAAAACTTCGTTAAAATTGAGTCCAAAATCTTGTTCAATACTAGACCTATTTATATGTTCTTACCAAAAGCCAAAAAACAACATAAGATTTTCTTACCAGATTGATAATGCATCCACAGCCACTGTTGCATTCTTCAAATGCCCAGTCATCAAAATCAATATCCTATAGTACCAGTTCTCCAAGCTGCACATCCATTATCAAAAAGAATCCAAGAAAATGAACACTAATTAAAAGTCATCTTATTAAAAAAATGATTGTCAATTTTTTTAAGCGAATATCATGAGCAATAAAAATACAAATTATATAAACAATACAAATTTAGTCATGACATGACAATGCTAATCAATATTAATATTCATGCATTGGTAATGATTAATGTCACTTTTCTTCAACCAATAAAATTGCTCTCGTTCTCTTTCACTTTCTCTTTTACCGTTCCTCCAATTAAATATCGATGCTTCATCACAATTTCACCCATCCAACTATAGATTACCACATTAACAAAGTCAAATTAACAGAATAATTTTCGATATAGACGACTTTTCCTTATTCCCTACTTTAAAAATATTCTAAAATCCTGAACGTCACCATCCCCCGTCAAAAGTAATTTAATAGAAAAAATTCTGATGACAAATCACATGTCTAATTCAAAGGATTTTTTTTTTGGCTAATCAAAAGATCTAAATTTGTTTTTACTCTCATATCTCTTTCTTATGCGGATATCGTGAAACCTTTTTGTAAAGTAAGGTTTTTCTCATATCTAAAGTTGAAACTTTTTTTTCTTTTCTCATTTATCCCTACACTTTTTCTTTTTCTTTTTCTTTTTTCCTTTCTTGTTATAATTCTTTGCTGACATATTTTTTGTAAACTTTATTGTTGTGTTTCTTAAAAACTCTTTCCTAATTCACCTGACAATTAGACTGTACAACTTCAACTTTTAATTATTAATATAGCAATAAACTTCAGGAAAAAAGTCAAAAGTAATTTAGAAAAAATTCTGACGACAAATCACGTCTGATTTAAAATTGTTTTTGCTTTGATATCTCTTTTATGTGGACATCGTCAAACCTTCTACATCCTTCTATTAAATTATTTTTCTTTTCTTATTTATCCTCCCCCCACCACCCCCCTTTCTTTCCTTATTTATCCCAACACTTTTTTCTTTATGCTGACGTATTTTTCCTAAACTTTATTGTTATATTTCTTAAGCCTCTTTCCTAATTCATCAGACAATTTGATTGTAGAACTTTAACTTTTAATTATTAACTAGTTAAAAACGAGCCCTTTGCACGAGTGACCGATTTAAAACAAAAATTATATAAATTGTGAGAAAAAGGAAGGAAAAAAAAAGATGAGAGAAATAAAAACAAAAATAAGGAAAAAGATTTAAAGTAAAAGACAGGAAAAAAAGATAAAAACTTAAGAAAACATATTTGTGCGAAATGTTTCGCAATTATAATTGAAATTTATGAGGATTACAGGTAAAAGATATTTATATGGAGACACACTTGAGAATAAATTAATTTAATAAGGAATTAAAAAAATTTAAATAACCGTAATAAGTATTTAAATGAGATATATTTAAAAATATAAAAATTAAAGGTTAAAAGATGCAATAAAAAAAGATAAGAAAGTTAAAAGAAGAAATGAAAAAGAAAAAGAATAAAAAAATAAGGCTAAAAAGGAAAAGAAAAAAAAGTGAGGCAACCAAACAGGGGACTACGAAACGCAACTCTCCCCACCCAAAACAAGAGAAACCTATTCTCACTTAGAAGATAGGTAGGGCTGTTCATAAATCTGCAAAACTCGTAGGTCCAACCCACCCCATTTCAATCTAACCTAACTTGAAAAATACATTTTTAGTATTAAATGTTTTTTAGAAATAGTAGAAAATAGGTCAATATGAAAAGTTTAAGAAAGTATATAGGTTAATTTTTAGTTATAGAAATTAATATGCCATAACTTATCAAGTTATGGCTCATAATCAGATAAGTTATGGATAAACTTGTCAAGTTATGATTCATAGCCAGACAAGTTATGGACAAAAACAGTAATTTAGCCTATTTATTAACTTATGTAAACTATTGGCCTATTAATTTTAATTCATCTTAAGTTTTGGTCTATTTTCCTCTTTCTCCCAATTTTTTTTTCGGCCCATTTAATGTCTGGCCTGAAGTTTTGGGATGGGGTGTGGGTTGGGCCTATAATGACCCTCACACCCCTCATCTAATATCTAACCCTAGGCAAGAAACCCATTTAGACTCTAGTTTCTTCATGTTTGAATTAAGCCTCCATGTTTGCTTTATGTTAAGACTAATATATGAGTGTAGGCTAATTTATGTTTGCTTTATGTTTGATGTTGGATGGACTACTGTGCTTTATGTTTGATGTTGGCTTGAACTTTGAATTTCTATATGTTTGAATGTTGGAGTTATTATTTATATTTGATGATGAACTTTGAATGTTGGATTGAACTTTGAGTCTTTAATTTTTTAAATGTTGAAATCGACCACCCAACCCACCCCACACCGCCCCAACCCAACCCAAACATTATTAGGTTGTGAAATTTTTTTAACATCGTTGAGGCCAAACATGTGCAATCTGCACCCTTTGAGGCGGTGAAAGAAAAAATCCTACCCTACACCAACCTAACCCATGAACAGCTCTAAAGATAGGAATAGATATAGCAATAAAATTCAGGAAAATGTGTTAGGAAAGAGTCGAATAGAAAAAATAAATAAAAATATGCCCTAAAAAGAGTTTGAAGGAGCATCGAAAAGCAAATTATAATGGAGTATCTACAGAGCATCATTCTATTAATTTGAGCTGAAAAAACGTCAGCTTTCATTACTTAGTCCCACCTGAGATTTTCGAAAATGGGAAGCGCATATGGGGCAGAGAATTCTCAGATAAATTTCACCCAAGTTTCGTGCAAATAAAGTGGGTGGAAGAATCAGAGAAAACGACACCAATGGCTACAAAGAGATATGAGTGTGTTCCATTACTTTAGAGAAGGTGGAATGGGACAATGGAAGTTGGAACCATTTGAGTGGCAAAAGGTGTTGTTGGGGTGGCCCATAAGTCACAATCTCTTAGAGCTCATTTAGTTCACTGATTCGAATTTTTAATTTGAGTTAAGATGCGACTTTATGTAAGAATTTTTTACTGTAATAAAAAAATTAAACGTGACCGTTTCTGATAACATTTTACTATAGTAAAACTCGAATCGGTGAAATAAACGAGGCCATAAACATAATGACATACTAGCAGGACAATTATCAAATGAAAAACAATAATGTAACCATTACCACTAATATTTGACGTTAATTTTGAAGGTTTTAATTTGTAGAATAATACGTACCAAAGCATGAGTCCTGAAGCGGCAGATAGTTTGAAGAACTCCCAGAGGCCGAAAAAGGCCTGAATGGAGAAACCAGTCCAAGTGAGGGGACACCCACCCAAGGCAGCATAACCAAACAACCCAAAAACCAAGACCCACCAAGAAATGTCCAAAGCAATGGCGGCCCCAACAACGCCGAAGTCCAAGACGTAAACAAAAAGCCAACTCGTGACCACATTAGCCGCCAAGCCAACAAGGGAAACCCAAGCAATAACGTGGTTCTTGAGCTGGCACTGGAGGAATCTCTGTAGCGGAAACTGAAAGGCGAAGCTGAAGTGCAGAGGGATCATCCACAGCGCCACCAAACCCGACTGCTCCGCGACCTCGTCGGGCTGGCCGAGGAGCTTAAGAATTGGCCCCGTGAAGATGTAGAAGGGCAGCAACAAGAAGCAGCACATGAAGAGGACAATCCATGATCTTTGCATGTAAATTCCTAACATGTCGTACCTCTTTGCTCCAAAAGCCTGTCCGCACAGTGTCTCTAATGCACTCGCCATCCCTAACTGCGAAGCCAGTGGCGGCGGCGGAGTCATAAACTTTTTTTTTTTTTAAATAAATAATTTTTTAACTAACAGTAAAGATATAATACATATTTTAATTATTTAATGGAGACACAGTTATAATTTTTCTTAATACAATAAGATGCTATTGAAATCAACTTTTTGAAATCAACAGTTATAATTTTTCTTACGTGGAGCGGAGCACGTCTTGAAGTTAAGAGAAGTTTAAAAAAATATGTTATTATTATTTTCTAACAAAAATAACAAATTCACATGTCTAATTATAAAAAAATAAAAAATAAATTAATAAACAAATATGTGATCGATTAATCGCACCAAAAGACCAAAATTGAAGCCAACAATGACGGTGTTGGCGATGGAAATGGAAGCGAGCTCGACGTCGCCAAGGTGGCCGGCGAAGGATTGCGTGATGACGTTCATGGAAAAGGCGGCAATGCGGCTGAAGATGGCGGGACCGACGATGAGCCATAGCTTCTTGGATTCAGAGCAGACTCTCGATGTACGGTCGACGTTATAATAATCTTGTAATTTACTTTCTTGATCTTGATCATGCTCAAGATCTTGTGGTTCTCGCGACGCTTGTTGTAGAAGCGGTTGGTTAAGATCTTCCATCGAAGAAAGAGTCTTTGGTCGCCGCTACTTGTCTTGTGTTCCACTATTGGAGAAGAAGAATGAGATTTATGAGAGAGAGAATCAAGATTGTTTTGTGGTGAGGACGTACGTAGCAACGTAGCGACTACAAGCTGTTTGAGAGAAAGACACGTAATGTAAAATATATATTAAGTAGAATTATAATATAGGTGTAATAATACTATATATTCAAATATAATAGCATAGTATTAAGTATACTATATATTATATGATATGCATCCATCTATATTATATATTGATTTGTGAATAGAGAAATAATAAATTCTAATTGGACCAAATATGAGTTTGCCTGAGAGATGAAAGAAGATAGACAAGAAAAGAATGTATTGTAACAGTTCTTAAAATGTAGTGATCTAGTTAGGCATCCTTTTTAGTTTTTAATAAGCTTAATTACAACTCATGTTTATTTGGTAAGTTGTGGTACCTATATCATATGCATAGGGAAAGGCGACAAAATACCACTTAATATTTATGGGCCTGCATTTTTACTTTTTATTATTGATTAAATCCTTCTTAGTTAAATAATTATGTCAGTCAAAAAAATATTAACAAAAAATAAGAGATAAAAATCTGAACTCATATAATTCTAAAGTAAATTTTCTCTATAAGCGCCTATAAGTATCTATTTATTGTTACATCAATAACATAGTTCTAACTATGTTTATATGCCGTTTCTCCAAACTAGTAACATTCTTATATCTAGCACTTCTGTATTTTTAGGGGTTGTTCTTTTACAACAAAACTCAGAAAAAGTTTGAACTCGAGTTATAACGGGGTTGTTTGGCAGCCCCTTTCTTGAGTCAAAACTCAAAAAAAAAAAAAAAAAAACAACTCGAGTTACAACTTTATTCAAGTTTATGTTCTTTTAAGTTTGAACTCGAGTTTGAACTCAAGTTTGAATTCGAGTTTGGGACTAAAACTCAAGTTCAAGTTTCCCTTTTAACTCGAGTTCAGAAACTCGAACTCAAATTAATGAATAATATTTTTTCTATTCTTAAAAATGCTATAACTTTTTCGTTTTAATTCTGATTGAGATGATTTTTTTTATATGCGTTCACAATGAAAAGATGAATAAAACCCCACCCACATATCCTATTCAAATTTTCCATTAGCATTGAGTTTTTATTAAAATACTATCTAAATACAAATTCAAGTTTTGACTCACTCAAACACAAACTCAAGTTACAACTTCAACTCAAGTTATAACTCAAACTCAACTCAAAATCTACACTCAAGTCACCTAACTCAAAAACGATAAAAGAACAACCCCAACTTTATTCATGTTCATGTTCTTTTGTAAAATTTGAGTTTGAACTCGAGTTTGAATTTGAGTTTGAACTCGAGTTTGAATTTGAGTTTGAACTCGAGTTTGGGGCTAAACTCGAGTTCCAGTTTTCCCTTCAACTCGAGTTCATAAACTTGAACTCAAGTTAATGAACAATACGTTTTCTATTATTAAAAATGCCATAACTTTTTCGTTTTAATTCTGATTGAGAAGATTTTTTTTTTCTATGCATTCACAACGAAAAGACGAATAAAACCCCACTCATATAGCCTATTAAAATTATTCATCACCATTGAGTTTTTATTAAAATACTATCTAAATACAAATTTAAGTTTTGACTTATCCAAACACAAACTCAAAAAGATTCTCAATTCAAATCATAACTCAAATGTGCACATCCAAACACAAACTCAAGTTACAACTTCAACTTAAATCATAACTCAAACTCAACTCAAAATCATCACTCAAGTCATCCTAACTCCAAAATGTAAAAGAACAACCCCTTAGGCTCTTGGCCATGGAAAGCAGAATACTCAATACTATTTTTTTTTAAGAAAAATATTGAAATTGAGGAATTAATGCTAATAACATTGTAACAAGATACAACACACTTAGGCTTAGTTTGGTATTACTTTTCCCTCTCAAAATCGACTTCTGCTTGTAGCAAACGCTGATTTTAGTGTTTGGTAAATCTCCTCAAAAGTGTTTTTTAAAGAATTTTTCAAGAATCTACAGTCAAAATCAGAAGCAGCCTAAAGACAGCTTTAGCTTTTAGATTGTGTGATAATCAACAGAGTATAATTAATGAAACTTTCATAATACCTATAATACCCCTAATAAAATTTAAAATTTACAATCTTCTTAATCTAAATTTTTTTTGAATTGTAATATAATATAATATAATAGTAATATTGTAACAAATAATTGAGTTTGAACTCGAGTTTGAATTTGAGTTATGTTCTTTTGTAAAATTTGAGTTTGAACTCGAGTTTGAATTTGAGTTTGAACTCGAGTTTGAATTTGAGTTTGAACTCGAGTTTGAATTTGAGTTTGAACTCGAATTTGAGTTTGAACTCGAGTTTGGGGCTAAACTGGAGTTCCAGTTTTCCCTTCAACTCGAGTTCATAAACTTGAACTCAAATTAATGAACAATACGTTTTCTATTCTTAAAAATGCCATAACTTTTTCGTTTTAATTCTGATTGAGAAGATTTTTTTTTCTATGCATTCACAACGAAAAGACGAATAAAACCCCACTCATATAGCCTATTAAAATTATTCATCACCATTGAGTTTTTATTAAAATACTATCTAAATACAAATTTAAGTTTTGACTTATCCAAACACAAACTCAAAAAGATTCTCAATTCAAATCATAACTCAAATGTGCACATCCAAACACAAACTCAAGTTACAACTTCAACTTAAATTATAACTCAAACTCAACTCAAAATCATCACTCAAGTCATCCTAACTCCAAAATGTAAAAGAACAACCCCTTAGGCTTTTGGCCATGGAAAGCAGAATACTCAATACTATTTTTTTTTAAGAAAAATATTGAAATTGAGGAAGTAATGCTAATCAAATTGTAACAAGATACAACACACTTAGGCTTAGTTTGGTATTACTTTTCCCTCTCAAAATCGACTTCTGCTTGTAGCAAACGCTGATTTTAGTGTTTGGTAAATCTCCTCAAAAGTGTTTTTTAAAGAATTTTTCAAGAATCTACAGTCAAAATCAGAAGTAGCCTAAAGACAGCTTTAGCTTTTAGATTGTGTGAGAATCAACAGAGTATAATTAATGAAACTTTCATAATACGTATAATACCCCTAATAAAATTTAAAATTTACAATCTTCTTAATCTAAATTTTTTTTGAATTGTAATATAATATAATATAATAGTAATATTGTAACAAATAATATCATAATTATATTAATTACTCTAATATTATTATTTTATCACATAATATGATATTATAATAATATTATAATTATTTTAATAATATAATAATATAATTATAATATGATATT